CTTAATTGGATGGTGTATCAATTAGTGTTCTATTATATATCTTTCTAGGATATTAATTGTTACATTTTTTTGTTTAATACACTATATAACACACTTATTAAAAAATCGTTATTTTCTAGTTTATAATTAAAAATAGATAAACTTAAAGATGCAGTCATACATAATCAATTATATTTGTATTATATTTCAATAGTTGAACCACGCAGATATAAAAAAATATGTCGAATCAAAAGGTGTACTAGTCATTTTCCATCAATCTTTGAAGCACTTTCAATTTTCTAGTTTGTTTCATCATCGTATACTTATGTTATTGTTATGTATTTTAATTCAAATTTAACTTAATACACGTATCTCTTACCATTTCTCTTAAACTGATATTTTTTTACATTATTTTGGGCTTTTATTATTTCTTTGCATTGTTTCACCTTTACTCTCTCATATTGTTTTCATGTGTTTGTGGGTGTGTGTGTATATATATATATATATTTCTAAAGGATCATGGTACGTACACACCCTAAACCCACATCCAATGCTACACACAACCGGTCCATCTATTAAAATATATTTTCCTCACATGGGTTCCCCTCCATCCCTTCATCCACTTATTCTTATTTGTGTAACCAAACACACACCGAAAATAATACCCAAATTTGTTCCATCCCAATTTCCAGCACCTTCTTCCTTCTTTCTTTTTCCTTTTTTTTTTTTTTTTGTTTTTCTGGAGAACGACCTGGGTTCTTCTCGGAGAACCCAGATCGAGTTCTTGTTCTCCGGGTTCTCCATTTCTCTCAACTTCTTTTCGGATGGATCTATGGTTACTTTGAATTGGCTGTTTGTTTTCATGTTTCCATGTTCTTCGTTTGTTTCTTTGGAAAATTTTTGACACTATACTCTCCATAGATTAAAAAAATGTGTGCTGATCCAGATTATCTCAAAAGATAGAAGTGAGAGAGTTGCATTTTGGAGCAAATGCTTTGTCTTTGCAGAAAGGGACCTTTCTGCAACGTGTGGAACTTCTGAGCTGTGTTTTACGTTATCTTCATTATCTAGCTTGGATTGATGGAAGGAATGTTGTTTGAGATTCTCCAATTACTGCTCTAGTTTTCATATTTCCCATCCTGAAAATTTGAATAAGCTTCTAAAATTGTCTGCAAATAGGTCTTGCTATTTTGGGAATGTTCATGTAGAGAAGAAGGGTGATGAGCTGGAGGAGAGTGGCGAAGTCACTCTAGGCACTTGTAGCCCATGCCTTTTCATTTTCTCCCCCCTTCCCCAACACCAGACTCACCCAACCCTTCCTTTCTCTATCTCTCCCCTGCATCCATTTTTCTTCATTTATAAATATATTTTGATAGATTGAAATCACTTCTGTTACATAATAGCAATTAAAGCTGATGTTATGGATTGAAGATCAATGAACAAACAGAGATCGAGTTCTTACAAAGAACCCAGATT